CCCAGGACCCTTGGGAACCGCGCTGAGCATCGACTCAAACCTATCCCTCCCCACCCCCGCCGAAGAAAAAAAGAAGGGGTCCGTGGATACAGAAGGGGGGAGGGCGGTGGGACGTGTGTTGCGACCTCATATTCGGTTTATGTATGGGGAAAAGGAAAGGGGGAGGCAAAGGCCGGGCATCCGTGCGTCCCGGGGCACCCAGCCGTCTGCAGGGAGAGAGGACGGCACCAACACGCTTCCAAGAGACGTCCTGCAAAACGTTAACCTCGGGGATAGATGGATGGGAAGTCATGTCCCCTGCCACCAGCCCCCGAAGAGGCTGCTCTCTGTTTCTGCAGGTGCATTTCCAGCCGGCTCCTGCGTCCCTCTCTTCTCATGCTAGGTTCTTGCTTGTTTTGAAATCCAAAAAGCTCTTCTACCCTGCCACCTCTCCCTGCTCACGAACACACACAAAACACTCAAGCTCCTCCCTCCCGCATGAAAAACAACATCCTCTCCTAGGTGCAAAGCTCTCCTACTGGTCTGAGGTCAGCCCTTATCCCACGCCACCTCCACGGCCTCTCTACTGCCAGCCAAAACCGAAGGGCTGCTCTCTCTCCACCACGCGTCTATCCATACGCCCTCAGCATTTCTATTTGTTCTGATTTACTACACAGGCACGAATGGTTAAAGGCCCTCTGGAAAGGTTCAGTTTCTTAAACTCCAAGGGGGCGGGGTGGAAGACAAGAGCAACAACACTCCAGAGGCATTTATGGCATTATACTGTACCAATTTTGGCTATGGTTACAGCTGTAAACACATTTATTTCATTCTCGTAAACCAGTTGTGATAAATACTGCATAAGGCAGAGAAAAAAGGCAGGCCGCTGGGACTGTTTACTAATAAAAGGGCTGGCATCTTTTCAGTGCTTTTTCAGCCAGCCAAGGAAAAAATGTACAGTTTACTATAAATAGATCTCGTTTGCCCGTAAATTCTGCCGAATCACAGCACCTCTCTAACAGTCTCTCGCATCCTGAAAACCTTTTTCCTCTCCCTTTTTCGTGCCATTGTCTCTTTTGTTGCATTGTCTCTCTGGCGGGGGTTTGCTGCCTGTACCGGGCGTGGGGGCAACACCACGAGAAGGGCCGGAACAGAGGGGAGGCCCCCCGCCCCCGACGAGGGGAGCTGCCGCCCCTTCCCTCTGCCCGCGGGCCGGCCCGGCCCCTCCGCGGTTCCTGCCCCGGGATCCCGGCGCTTTAGGCTTTTCCTCCTGCCCCGTGGCCCCAGGGCTCACCGGGAGACTCGGAGGCGACTCTTCCTCGCTGAATCCCCCCATTTATTTAAACGAAGTTTGCGAGAAGTTTAAATCTCGTAGCGTATCTTCTTTTTTTTTTTTTTTTTTTTTTTAAGCGTTGTCAGCATCCAGAAATCTGGGGGCACAAAAGAAACCCCAACCCGTAGGTGCACGTTGCAGTCCAATTTAACCCAGTGGCAGAGGAGTTAAAATGCCAGTGAGGCTGCTCGCTTTCCGGAGGGACAGGGCTGGAGCAGAGAAGGACAAGAAGCAGGGCCGAGGTTTCACCGCGTCCGCAGCTCAGTCAAGCTGTTGTTTTAAAAGAGCAATAAAAATGAATTATGACTAAACGCCTTCTCACTTAATGGTTTTAGACGGGGATCCCCAGCCCCGGCAAATACGTAAGAGGATTTTTATTTGTGCATGTGTTCCTGCAATTGATCTCTTTGATGACATTCTCATTCATAGAAAGAGTTTGATTTATGACTTTCGGAAGAATTGCGTTCAGCCCTTCCAGCTATAACCCACGCATCCCAGCTCCACAACGTGTTGCAGAGCTGGGACACAACGCTCCTCGCATGGACGGGCAGCAAAGCTCCAGCCACAAGCCCCCACTCAAGCCCCACTCGCCTGTGTAACCTACCCACAGGCTCACACGCGATCACACGCTCACGGGGAGCCGCGATCTCACCCGCCCGGGATCCCCCGGCCCCGGAGCAGCAGAGCCCCGCTGGCATCTGTTGCTCGGCTTTAGCCCGAAGGACGGGGGGCTCACCCTGGGGTCTGGGGTCCGGCAACGCCGCTGGCCGGGTGGCAGGCAACGTGGAGGAGATTTCTGAAAGCCCATCTTTGCTGCCGCCAGCAGAGAGTGGGGAGCCCCGAGGAAATTGTAACTTTAAAGTCAGACTTGCGCCTTTTCGTTCTCAGTCCTTCGCCCCTGGTTTGAACAGAAAAATATCTCCAGCTGTGCCCCCGCGCCGCCCCTGAAAAGGAGCGAGTGGAGGGCTTGATTCCTCCCTAGATGCTTTTCCCCCCTGCGTTTCTGCCACCCTTTTGATTTTACAGGCACTAACTTCTCCATTTGCTCTCCTTCTAGGGCTGATTTCTCGGACCGCTCAGCACGTGAGAAGTAACCAAGCGCATTCTCTGTGAGCTCTGATATTTTTAAAAAATATGCTTCCTGAAACAGCTTCCTGGCTGCTAAGCCCTACTTTCTAGAAAAACGGGATTATTTCCCCCCTGCCCCCCAAAAAGGCCTTTCGTGTATGTAACAGGCTAGTTTCTGCAGGAGACGCTTATCCTACTGAGTCTCTCTTATGTTTTGCCTGTAACAGAGAAAGTGCTCGTTCATGCTTTTGTTACAGCTCATTTCCAAGCTTTGTATCCTCATGGAGATAAGATGCTACATTTATACATTAAAAGGAAGAGATCTCCATCAAAGCAGCGAACAGTTTCAGTTTGTTTGGTTTGGTTGGGTTTTTTTCCCTTGTGAGAACCCTTGCAATAAAGAATTTGAACGTGTTTTTCCTCTCTAATAAATGTCCTAAATTGCCAAAAGGGGAAAGCTCGTAGTCAGAATGTTGGGTTTTGATTATTAGTAAATTAATAGTAGGAAGGGATGGGGAGAAACACCCGTCGTGTTATCAGTCTTGAAAGGAGAGAGAAAGAGAGAGGGAGAAAGAGAAAGAAAAAAGAGAAAGCTCCTTGTAGCAAACAAGAATTTATTCTACCAAAAATACTTATGACAACGCATCCTAATGCAATACAAAAATAAAAAGAAAGTGAAGATACAATTCCTATATGATCACTTTCTTACAGACCTCATATATTGCTTTCATAGGAGGACCTAGAATGTGGCTAGGTTAAAATTGAACACAACTAAAACTTCATAAGAAACGGCAAAATGGCACAGCAGAGGGAGGTAACAAACTGAAAATACCGACCAGGAAAAGGGAGGGGAAAAAATAAAATTAATTCTCGGGAAAAAATGAAGAAGAATAAGGAGGAGAAAGCAGGACCCTTGGAGAGGACGTCTTTAATTTCTCAGTAATTCAGATGCTGCAAGTCAATTGTGGTGAGTGTGTCTGTAAAAAAGTCAAAACTGTCAGCAGAAATATCTACGGGACTGTCCAGAGATCCCGGCAAACTGGGGGAAACTGCATCTGAAAGCTGTAGGCAGGAATCTGTGGAGAAAACGTTAAAGTCCTGTAAAGAAGGGACATCTAGGGCCTCAGGACTGTCATTGTTCAGGCCAGCTGCACAGTTCTGGGCCATTGTTGAGAGGCAGTTTTGAACAGTGGGTGACTGATGTTGAAAATGTTTCAGATTTTTCTCATTGCTCGTTAAAGGCGAAACGGGGAAAGTTTGGGACTCGCCATTGTGCGCATTCTGCGCCTGCTGCTGGGAGAGGGCATTCTGCTGGAAAGCGTAGCCTTCCCGCTCCAAGAGAGCGCCAGAGACGTTGCTGAGGGCTTGCTCGTAGAGGGATTTCTCCTCCTCCTCCTCCTCCGCCGCTTTCTCGGGGTCCTCTAGGCTCTTAAATTTCCCCTCGCTGTTTTGGTTCTCCTTGCACTGGGTCTGTCTCTTGTGCTTCATCCTCCTGTTCTGGAACCAGACTTTGACTTGTCTCTCGGTCAGATCCAGCAAGGCTGCAATCTCAACCCTCCTTGGTCTACAGAGATACTTGTTGAAATGAAATTCTTTCTCTAGCTCCAAAAGCTGGGTGTTGGTGTAAGCTGTCCTCAGCCGCCTAGATCCACCGCTACCGCTATCGGGTATTTCAAGGGGGTCTGTTAAAAAAGAAGAAAAAAAAAAAAAAAAGGAAAAAGCAAAACACCACCTTCCACCACCACACGCACCCCAAAGCACCACCGCCAGAACAGCAAGAGCAAAACCACACGCACGCACACTCAAAACAGATAAATGCACGGATTGAATTTCATTCAGCACCCGAGCACATCGCATCCCGGGGGGGTGGGGGTGGGGGGGAGAGTCCTCTCTCTGCACGTATGTGTCTATATCTATATGTCCATATAGCATAAAATAGCAACTGCAACAAAATGGCCGCCTTCGGATGCAGTAAACCCATTGTGTTGCCCTGCTGAGCGCCCGGCGCTGCCTGCCCCTCGGCCACCTCCGCCAAATTACCGCCTCCAGCTCCCCAACCTCCCCACACCAGAGCAAACTTTATATTAGCCATAGCGCAATTTATAATTAATGCATCAGCTGCTTAGCTGAGCGGGAGCAATCTATCACTCTTCATTACTGTCAAATATCCTAACTCTAGGACGGCGAGACAAGAGAGGTCAGCTCCAACTCAAATAAATCATCCCGCGCTAGGCAAGTTTGGGGAAAGTTTGGGTTTCCCGAGAGCCCCG